TAATAATTCGAGTAATTGATAAGCTACTAAGTTTAAATTCGGTACACTACTTCAACATAAATAGTTACTTTTTTTGAGAACAACAAAACAAAAATTAATTGTCAAATAATCAAAATAGGGGGGTCCAGTACTCACTGACTCCCCCTATTTTTTAGTACGTGCGCCAATGACTTTCAAAAGGAATTTTTTCAGGTTATCATTTATTGTTGAAAATTTTTTGTCTCTTATAAAATTTTGATAAAATGATTTGTTTTAGAGATAATTTGTAAAGTATGGGTCAGTCCATATCAAATTTTCAAAATTTAATTTTTTTTTTGAAAAATGTAGGTCATGTGATATATCATAAAAAAGTTCTCTAATAGGCCTTTAAAATAAGCCATCACTCACCTTTCTACTTTTAATAGTTTACGAGATATCGCTTTTTTTGTAAGTACTTGCAAGACCCAAATTTATCGGAATTTTTTGATTTTCAAAAATCAATAAAACAAAAACCACCTATCGAAAAAAATTCATATATGGGATTTTTGATTTTTTTAGTGAGGTAAACAAATTTACCAAAAATGATCAAAATCGGAGGTGGTGGGGGAAGAACCTTTGGTTGATTTGATATGGACTGACCCATACTTTACAAATTATCTCTAAAACAAATTATTTTATCAAAATTTTATAAGAGACAAAATTTTTTTAACAATAAATGATTACCTGAAAAAATACCGTTTGGAAGTCATTGGCGCACGTACTAAAAAATAGGGGGAGTCAGTGAGTACTGGACCCCCCCTATTTTTAATATTTGACAATTGTTTTTTGTTTTGTTGGTCTCAAAAAATGTAACTATTTATGTTGAAGTAGTGTACCGAATTTAAACTTAGTATCTTATCAATTACTCGAATTATTAAAAAAAAACAGTTTTAAATTTCAAACTTTGTCGCCCTGTATATCGAACATGAAGCTCTAAATTGAAAAATGGTATTATGAAAGTCTTATTGTTTTAACTCAAGGAATATATGGTTAACGGATTGACCTCCTTTTCACGGACACCCTGTATATATTAGTGGCAATTTTGAATATAAACGTTTTTTGGATGCGACTTTAAATGAAATTTCGTCAGTGTAGATAATGTTCTAGTACTTACTATAATTATACCTATGATGGATATGAACTAAACTGCTCGTCATAAAAATCGACGCACCTAGTTTTTTGGAAAATATATGAAAGCTCGTTATTGTAAAGTTACTGAATCGATTTTAAAAATCTTTGGAAATTCTGAATAGCTGATTCTTTGACTCTTATGTCTAATTTTGGGAATATGATATTTTGCACATAGCATTACACTACAGGGTGTTAAACGAAGAGATGGATTTTTTCCGAAATTTCAAGATATTCCCATTCATGAGGGAGTTGAGTTTGATAGTCGTAATACCCCTCCCTAATATTTGTAAGGTAATCCCTCGAAACGTTTTCGAGATTTTGTGAATATCGCGGCTTACTACGATATTATATGCCAATTTATCGAAAATTGTCGTTATTTCCCAGTTTAGTCCAAAAAATGAGTAATAGTGGATTCTTTGACCTACGTCTAATTTTGAGAATACGATATTGTGCACATAGCATTATACTACAGGGTGTTGAAAAAAGAGATATTTTTTTCCAAAATTCCAAATCCCCATTCACAGGGCAGTTGAGCTTGATAGTCCTAATGCCCCTCCCTAAAAACAGTTAGGCATTCCCTCGGGACGTTTTCGAGATTTTGTGGATATCTTGGCTAACTACGATTATATACCAATTTTTCGAAAATTGTCGTTATTCCCCAGTTGTCCAAAAAATGAGCAATAGTGAATTCTTTAAATTACGTCTAATTTTGGGAATACGATATTGTGCACATAGCATTATACTACAGGGTATTAAAAATTTTTTTTTCCAAAATTCCAAATCACCATTCACAGGGCAGTTGAGCTCGATAGTCATAATACCCCTTCCTAATAACAGGTAATCCCTCGGGACATTTTCGAGATTTTGTAGATATCTTGAATAACTACGATTATAATGCCATATAATAATATGGCAGTTTTTCGAAAATTCACGTTATTCTTCACTTAAGTCCCAAATATTAGCAAACTACGGAAGGTATCAATACAGCGTTTTAAGGTAGGTCACGTGCTTCCACTTCATGTACGTTGCGTGATTCATTAAAAGTGAAATATTTCACAGAAAACCAATTTTTTTTGGTTAAATTCAAAATAAAAACGCAAACCAAACACAATTATTCTCGTAAACTTATGCAGGCTATATTCATGCAATTTTCTACAAACAGTTGACTATGAAAGTTTAAAAAATATGGCGCATATCTGTTTTTGAGTTTCCTTCCTTCAATTATTGTTGTAATTTTTTTCGTCGAATATGAAAACATGTTTCAAACAGCAAAACACATTTAAAAAAATAAAATGACGGATGTAAGATTGCATACGACGCACATAAGGCCGAATGTCTAAATTAGCGCGCCAAAAATATTAAATAGGATTTTATGTGATATTATATATAAATTATGATTAGAAATCCTTATGAGGGTCCTACTTAATCCTTATCTTTTAGAAAAATGCATAACATAGGTTAGTTTGGCTAATAAAAAGAAAACAATTGCATATTTAATTAATGGTGTATTTTAAATTAATAAATTAGGTATAATTCCTAGAAAAATATTATTTTACAGCCACATCATCCTCATCTTCACTATCTTTCTCATCCTCATCATCACCATAGAAGGTAGGCATTTCTGGGAATTTAACGTTTCCATTAAGCCATTTCATATTTTTGTTGGTAAAATGACGATAACTTAAAAAAATCTTTATTTTTTAACACATTAAATAGCTCTTCTCTTTTAATGTTCATGTTTCTAAACTCAATCAAACGCTAATTTAATAAGAATGTTTTATAATCAAATTTTGTTATTAATTTATATTGGAATAGAGGTAAATAACTTGCATAGGTATATTATAATAAATATTAAAAAGGTAATTTTTTCCCAAAATTATTGTTTAAGGTAAAATTTGTTAAGGTACCTATAATACGAAATAATGTTATGAAATTTACCTTGTAATTTTAAGTTGTATAAAAAGAGTATGTTTTAAAAAAAAATACTAATTAATTAATTAATTACAGTTATACGGTTATAATATAATATATTATGTAATTTATGAAGAATCGCGACTTTCAACCTTCAATAAACTGTGCTGGTACATCCAGTAATATAAATATATTCTCATGTTGTTCATTTCTTTTCCAACGAAGTCACTACGTCTCCCTTAAAATAATATGCTCTATAAACCAAAGGTGGAACGATGTGGACGAGTAATTTACTTTTTTAAATTAGTTATAAGATATGTTATCCAAACAGCAAATAAATTTAGGGGAACTCGTTGGAACTTTTTTTATAACTCTAGCTAAAGTAAACATTAAATTTTTTTTTTTAATCAAAAACACTATTTTATAAAATTTATATTTCAATTGTTCTACGTACAATTGGTTTATCAACAATTATTGCATATTAAGGTAAAAACCTGGTGGTTTATAATCCATGTTAAAAACTTTGTGATTTTACATTTGGAACCATAGGACAAGCATATTATTCTCTTAAAACTTCAGAAACATAAAATACATATTGGCAGCGCCAAAGATAAGCCAACTTTGCGATGATGCTAGAGCTATTTTGTTGCGTTAAAAAAACAAATTCTTACGGTTTATTGTAGCCTGGTCTATTACCAACCTTTTGATGACACTTGTGACCAGTTTGGAGACATTTCGTTTTTCTATTTTTGGCGCGCTAATTTAGACATTCGGCCTTATGTGCGACGCAAGACGAAGAGCTGCCTGCCCTCTTTTTATGCTAGAAGAAGATGGGCCAAGAACATGCAAATTGGGGAAACGATGTGTTGATGACTAATCGATACCTTTCGTAGTTTGCTCATTTTTGGGAATTAAGTGGAGAATAACGACAATTTTCGAAAAACTGCTATTTAATCGTAGTTGGCCAAGATATCCACAAAATCACGAAAACGTCCCGAGGGATTACCTAACTGTTATTAGGAAGGGGTATTAGGACTATCAAGCACAACTGCCTTGTGAATGAGGATTTGGAATTTTGGAAAAAAAAACATCTCTTTTTTTAACACCCTGTAGTATCATGCTATGTGCACAATATCGTACTTCCAAAATTAGACATAAGAGTCAAAGAATCAACTATTGCTCATTTTTTGGACTAAAATGAAGAATAACGTGAATTTTCGAAAAATGTCCATATAATCGTAGTTAGCCAAGATATCCACAAAATCTCGAAAACGTCCCGAGGGATAACCTAACTGTTATTAGGAAGGGGTATTACAACTATCAAGTTCAACTGCCCTGTGAATGGGGATTTGAAATTTTGGAAAAAAATCATCTCTTTTTTTAATACCCTGTAGTAGAATGCTATGTGCACAATATCGTATTCTCAAAATTAGACGTTAGTCAAAGAATCCACTATTGCTCATTTTTTGGACTAAACTGGGAAATATCGACAATTTTCGATAAATTGGCATATAATCGTAGTAAGCCGCGATATTCACAAAATCTCGAAAACGTTCCGAGGGATTACCTTACTTGTATTACGACTATCAAACTCAACTGCCTCATGAATGGGAATAACTTGAAATTTCGGAAAAAATACATCTCTTCGTTTAACACCCTGTAGTATAATGCTATGTGCAAAATATCGTATTCCCAAAATTAGACATAAGAGTCAAAGAATTAGCTATTTAGAATTTCCAAAGATTTTCAAAATCCATTCAGTAATTTTTCAATAACGAGCTTTCAAATATTTTCCAAAAAACTAGGTGCGTCGATTTTTATGACGAGCAGTGTAGTTTGTTTTTTAAGAAGTTAAATCCTATACTTTTATTCAACCCAACTTTTCTTTTTTGTTTATTACGAACTATTTTAAGCATGAATTAAAAAAAATATTATTTCAGGTGATGATAATAATTCTGGGCTGCTTTTCTGTGTGCTGGTTGCCGTTTTTCGTGGTGCTCACTTACGCGAGAACAACCGGCCTAATAGGCAAAGGCATCTACGAGATATCCTTTACATTGGCCGTGGCCAACTCGGGCATGAACCCTCTCATATACGCTTGGAAAAACGCAAACTTTCGCAAAGCGTTCAGCTGTCTGCTGCGCTGTCAGAGGCCGAATGTGTGTAGCGCGGCGTTCGTTACGAATCACGTGCCTAGCAAGAAAAACTCCATGAACGGCATATGCAACGGCAAAGAGGAGGACCTTGTGCGCAGCGAGTTCGACATTGAACTTCAAAGTTCCAAGCTTAATGGAATTTGTGATCAACTGGAACAATGCCAAGGCAGTGTGCCGACTCAGGTGACGAACGTTAATGCATCACCGAGAAATTAACTATTTAAACTATTGTGTGACTAGTAAATATGCAGTGATACCGAAGAGTGTTTAAAAGCACTGAAAATGTATTCTTATAGTTATATATTCCACTCTTATAAACAATGAATGTGATATTTTTTTATTTCTTAGTTGATTTTTATTTAAAAACATGTGTTTACATGTAATAAACAAAACAAAAAACAAAACTTGTTTTTGTTTTATGGGCGCCAAAGTTGGATAACGACTTTCACGTAAGGTTTGCAAAAAAAATATTTCTACTAGCTGTAATAAGAGGATTTCAACATTAAACCAATCCACAAATATTATGCACTCTTCAATTATCCAGAGTACTTTATAAATATTGCGGAAAAATAACAGGAAAATAACAAAAAAGCTAGTTTTTAGTGTTTCAATTTTTTAAATATAAAAAAAATATAAGCTTATTTTTACTATCTGAAAAACCCCAACAAAAACAATACAATACAACTAACTTCACGACAAAATTTTTTTAATATTATTTTACATTTTTATGTATTTTGAGATTTGTTTATTATTTACACAATTTTTTTTTTAATTTTTGAACAAACAAAACAAATTAAAAGCGTGTCATATTTTTCTTAAATATAACAACTAAGATGCCCCCTGGACGCCAATGGAATCATCATTTTTATAAGCAAACACAAAAAGTTACAAAAATCTGAATAAAGTTTTTTTAGATATTAATAAAAATCAGATAATTCTAAAAAATTGCAATTAGTTAATGGGAAGTTTTTTCTTTTTTTCAAGGAAACTCATTCTAATTTTGTTTGCAATATAAATAAATTAGCCCGTATATTGGCAAAATGTTGAAATCAGATAAGATAATTTAATTTTCTTAAAAAAACTCTTGCCAGGTTTTTATACCATTAACCGTTTTTTTTTAAATATGATATTTTAATTTAGATCTTTAGTTTGATTTACATTATCCGGCATCCAACGGCACAACACAGACAGGCATTATTTAAATAAACCTATTGATATTTACGACCACAAACCATTCTCTGACTGAATGATGTTAGCGTATTTGCCGGTAGGTGACTTGCAGTGGTGGCATGTGCCAATTACACCACTGAATTTAAGTAGTATTTAATATTACACATCCTTTTATTTTTATCCCTTTATATAAAATATTTAAAACAAAGTAATTTTTAATTTTTTTGTCATATTTGCTGTAGTTTTTGTACTAATTATTTCTTTAATGGTATTGATTTTAGGCTTAAGCCCGCTGCACAACAGCCCAGTAACGAAACGGGAACCTAAACAGTAAAGGTGGGAGAGACTCAGCAAACACTAGCACTCACAAGAACGCATCAAGTAAAAACGACACAACCACACACGATACATTAACGTTGAATTCTTAGTCTTGGTCTTTGCCAATATACAAATAAAATCGCAAGTTTTAGGTTTTAGTGGATAATTAAAAGAGAAAATATTATTTTTAATAAACATCAAATTATAAATATATACTCTTCGTTACACAATAATTAAAAATAAAATATAAAAAAATTGGTTTTACACAAAGTCCGAAAATTAATTCAACATCAACAATAAATTCCATCGAAGTAAATATCGTATTACAATTACATAGCAAAATTAGGCAGCATGCGTTTTTATGTTTCCATTCATTTCGATTGCCAAATACAAAAGAGTACGACCTTGATTACTGTGCAATTATGGCCTCCGGTAATTACACAGAAATTCAAAAATGCTATAATTTTGTCATTATTTTTTAGTACTTTAAGTACTAGTAACTTTCGTTCGGAGCTTCTGATTATTTTTTTGTCAAGTTAGAGGTTGGGAATATCGTAAGCTTTAATTGTGAGCAATTCTCTTGACTATGTATTTAAATTATAATTAGCATACCAATAGTGTATTAAATACACTGATGTTTTTTTTACGATTACTTAATAATAAATTATTATACATTTAACAGTTAACAGTTAATTAATTATAGCAATAAAAATACACGATAAAATATATGTATAATATTATTGAAATGTGTGCCAATATTCTTGATATAAATTTAAGTGTTTATTTTGGGAATATTAAACATTAATTTTTTTGTAAAAACATTTACTTATTATAAGTAAGGCTACAATATATAAATCAATTTATTTTCGATGAAAGGCAATATTTTTATTGGATATAAAAGTTTAACCCATATTTGTTTAAAGTTAATTTTAGGACTAATACTTAATACTAAACAAAACCTATGTATTTATTTAAAACAACAGACAGTAGTCTATTATAAAACAATTGATTAATAAAATTGGTAAATTAATGCTGGGTGCCAGTATATTTATTTAGCTAATTGATTTAATACCAATTAAATAAGCTAAAACATTACACAAATAATTTAAATAATGATTTAAAACAGTTAAGCTTGTATAATTACAGTGTTACAACTATAATATATTTTAATTCTGCCCTTAACAGATATGTTCTAGGAACATTTGACCTAAAACCGTTTCTATTGGAGCAAGATAGTTTATCGCAATACCTACAATCTGAGTATTACTCATTATCTGTTGCCACGGTAAAAAAAAACGACAAACTTATTATCCATCATTCATACAGATATTTTTATATGTCAGCAAAATGTAGGTTTTTCTTTATATTGGAATTTTTCTAATATCCATGTAAATTTAATTTGCATTAAATTCAAATAGTATTGTCTTCAAATACATTCAGACAATCTCGGGGTTCCAAATTTTGAACACAATTAAATGGTGTTCAGATATATAAAAAAATCACATAAAGTTACCGAATTGCAAATAAATAATATTAAAAGGTCGACTTACCTCAACTCCAGTAGCACCCAATGCTTCCTTTATGTTGGGAGTTAGACGGAAAGGAACCTTTTCCGGAACTCGCAGTGTTTTTCCTTTTTCAAAACAAACGTTGTAATCTATGTGAACCACGTCTCCAGTATTCAGGTCCACCAGCATGTTATCCAAATGCCTGTCGCCCAAACCAATGATGTACCCGATGATGCTCATGACAGCTACGGAATATGAGTATCTCTTGACGATTTGCCACCACGCGCCAGCACTAATGGAGTTACACCACAATTCCTTGGAAAGTAAATCGCTGGGAGTTTCAGACATAAGTTCGGTTAGGACTTGTTTTAGCACTGCCAAAGGCCATTCTTTTCTGTTTTCTGGATTTTTCACGCCATGCTCTTGCAGCAAGGGATTTAATTTGTTGTAGAATAACTCAGATGGTCTTAATACACTGGTTGTAGTATTGACAGCGTTTTTGGTGCTGGGTTTTGCAATTTCCCTTTGTTGCCAACGTTTATACAAAGCAAAAGCCGGCGTTGTTCCATCTACCCAGGAAATAAGTCCTGACCTCGGTCCCAGAGGTATGACAGAGTAATGCCTAGCCCTGTACAAGTTGTGACCGGTCGGATCTGTATTTTGAGCCATCATTGTGTTGGCGATGCTCAAAAACTGCATAATCCTTTCGTCCAAATGCAAATCTTCCAATCCTTTAAATAGGTAGGTGTAAGTCTGCCCATCTGATCCATAAAATATTAACTTCTTGGGCTTGGTTTTCGTTGGAAGTATGGAAACTACATTCGAAACGTAAGCAATGGTAATATTTTTGGCTGTAGTTGCAATTCCAGGCATAGCTATTACAGTGTCTTTGATGCCGTGTAAAATGGGGCTTATATCTTGCATTTTTAAACTGTATGAAGCGCGTTTGTGGAATTTTTGTTGGAATTTCTTTTGTAGAGTCTTTAGCGGTAAAAGTGATTCCTGAGGTTTCTCTGGAGTTTCAGGGTTTTTCAATTTAGCAATAACGGATTTAATATCATCCATATACTTTTCTTGAAACTCTTTTTCATGAGGAGTTTCAGCGTCCACTGAAGTAACATCCAATAATTGTTCCAAAATAAAAATAATCGGTTTAATGATGATGCGATGTTTTTCAGCTATTAAGGATATTTTTTCTTCGCTATTTAAATTTGTATTTTCGTTGACCTTCTCAATTTCGAACTCGAGTTGTTGCTGTCTTTTACTAATTTCGGTTTGGTGCTGAGCCAAAGTCCCAAGCCAAAGCTCATCCCAGAGCAAAGTAATACGTCTTAACTCTTTTACAAGAGTTTGCACTTGTGTGATAGTTTCAGAATCTTGTTTGCTCAATGTATCTACCATAGTTTTAAAGCAGGTCTGTAAAGTATTGGTGGATTCTTCATTATCGCTGTCGTAATCATCATCTTCATTAAGCTCATTATCTTCTATTCTGTCATTGTTTTGGGATAAGCAATCTTTCGGTAAGGTAATTTCGGAAAATTCGAATTTTAAACCACCTTCTAAAGCTCCTACCACGGCGGGAAACGTAATAAGCTGGGGAGCATCTTCGGCAACTCTGCACAATAAATCAGAAACCCGATGACGAACGTAACCCTCGGGATGATTTAACCTAGAGAACAGCTGTGGTATAATAACTTTCCAAGGTTGAGTTGGTGTTGTTTGCAGGCCTTCCTCGAGAATATTTTGCAATTCAAGGGCATATTTCACAATTAAACGAAGTAATCTTAAAGTTACCGTAATAGTATAGCACTCTGTACTTTTAGTTATATTTTCTAAATTCGAGGCTAAATGCAAATATTTAAAGTAAGCATCGGCACTTAAAAAGTAGTACGCGTATATTCTCTTTTGCGTATTTCTCCAAATCTGCACCAAACCGTGTAAAACATCATCATTGGCGTATTTCAAAACATCCACACATTGCAACTGACCCTGTATCATTTCCGAAGTATTGATTTCATTGGAATCGATGTCTTCCTCATCTATAATAGACCGCGTTTGCGAAATTATTAGCATTATTTTTTCACAATCTTCTTCAGTGGCATCTGAAGGTAGAAGTTTTTTAATTTCCAAACATTGTTCATCCGTTAGATTGTTTTTAATATCGGAGCTGTGATCAACGATTTTCTTGCCCCATCTATAGCACCAAGTTCCGAAAGCGTTCCAGCTTTTCGCTAACGTTGTACAATGATGAACGCTAAATTGTAACAATTTTCCAATCGCCATTTCGTTTAATGGAATAATATTGGCAGCAATATTTTCCATCATGCCGATTTCTGGTAGGACCATAATAAGTTTTCCTAGCGGACTATTCATTTCAGTTAAAGATATATTTTCATTTATTTGCAACCAAGCTGCTAATTTTATTAAGATTTTGCTGCTTATTTTTCTCAGCTCCATTCCACCAAACAGTTCCGCGTACTTTGATATTGCTGTAGAGGTGGCCGCGCATAAATTAAACGTATGATTTCTGTTTTCCTCTTGAATGTAGGAGAGTTTTATTATTTCCGAAGCCGCTTTAGCTACATCCACTGACCATATTTGAATATCACCGACCTTTTCAATAAAGGTATTTGCAATACTTCCGTATTCAAAGTTTTCCAGCTGTACATCCTTGTCTCTAAAGAATTTCGTAAGGTGCAAATGAGCCAACTTGTGGTTTTTTTCCTTTCTTGCTCGTTTTATTATATCTAATCTAAGATTGCTACAGAAGATGTTAAAACCTTGATTTTGGACAGCTCCAAAGTATTCAGACCACCACAAAATTTTTCTTAAAACAGACGAATCTACTTTTTCTATTTCATTTTCGAAGTTTTCTGACACTAAGAATACAGTATGTGCTGGAGAGTTGTTGGCGACATTTTTTAAACCATTTGCTACATATAAAAGAAGCGAAAAGTTTTGCAAAAACTCTGTAGGAGCTGAATTTAAATGTTCTTGTATGGATCTTTGTATGGTCGAAATATTGGTATTAAGTTTTGTTGTGGAATCTTCGACTGTCTTTGAAGTTATATTAACAGCAACATTAAACAAATTAGTCTCAACAGCTGATAATGTTTCATAGACGCTCCAAGATTTGTTTTCCTCCTTGTACTCCCATGTAGATAAACTTTTAAACGCATGATTGCTAATATCCAAGTTGGCCAGGCTCTTGTTACAATCCCAATCAGTCGAATTAAACCAGTATTTCCTACCATTTTCTATGTTTTCTTGTTTATCCTGTTCATGCCACTTGACTAAATCAGCCCAATTGTTTAACTCTTTATAGCATACAACTATTTGATCTTGGATAAAATTTAAGGTATCTGGTTCAAGAGGTAGGCAGTCAGGTTTATTTTTCTCGTCAGGGTTCTGATTTTCTTCTAATAGTTTTAGATATCCCTCAAGTGCGATTTCATATTTTTTCGATGCCTGCTCTGCAGCTAGTTTTATCCATGTCAGCCTTTTAGCAAACATATTTTTGCACCATGCATACACTCCATACAAAGCTTCTGTTTCTTTTAAGTTAAGAAAAGCAATTGTAACGAAAATTAAAACCTTTTCAAATTCTGGACTGTTGGATTTGCCGCTGTTCACAAAATCTCTTAAAAGACTTTGACCATGTCTTAAAGCAATGTTAGATTCTCCTGAATGTAGAGCAATATGTATGACAACCATTCGTATTCTGGACAGCCATTCATTGCAAGTGTTGGTATTAGCAATAAAAAAGGACTTGACCACTTTAGTTGGCTGTGGCATTGCAAGAGCTGTGCCTTCAGAAGCATTGTATATCGATTTTTCGAGATGTTCTACGAATTGCAACAGCATTTTTACTCTATCCGCATCTGTGTTAGCAGTATCACTCTTACCAGTTTTCTTTAAGGCAATTAAGTCATTGCCCAGTTGATTTAAGGCACCTTCAATCTTAGTAAATGTTTCGTTGGGCTTTCCTAGCGGCGTTCTTAGCTTATAGTTTACGCAAAATTGAGCTGCTTCAAGTGTAACCCAATTACTTAGCACTTGTCTGGAATTAATAGCAAGTTCATAAAATAACTCCATGTTCATTTGCCCTTCGTATGTCCAACAACAAGCAAATAATTCTTGTAACCAATGGTGAGGATAATCTTCATTGTTTAGTAAATAGTCCATAAACGCTTTAAATTGTAGTGAATAAATTTCACCTTCGATGTTACCGTTTAAATGTAAATGCTGGGCCATATAAAGCATATAATTGTTGTAGTCTTTTGACTGCATCCTCCTAATTTTCTTGGTATAACCAGTATTCTTTTTGTTAAGCTCAACTATAGCAATATCCCATGGTATGTTAGAAACCAAATTTCCATAGCACTGTCTTAATTCTTGGTGATTAGAGTTTAGGTGAAGTTTGCACAAATCGCAAACATTACTTAGAAAAATGTTAGTCCATGACAGCTGCTTGTTGCTTAAAAGTTTGTCCAAATTCTCACACACCATTTCTGCTATTTTTGGATGAAACTTGTAGCCACATTTTACTAAAATGTTGGTTATTTGTTGAAACTGTTCGTTGTCATATAGGTTTTCAAGATAATTTTCAGAATTTATTAAAATATCGTTCATCCACTGAAGCAGTAAAAGTTTAACTTCACAAGACGTGGTAGTATTTAATGTTTTGTAAAGTATATTAAGAATAATTGCAAAGTTCCCTGAATTTGGAGATGTATTTGGAACATCGTTCATATTTAATCCGTCACTAATGGTAAACAATTTCATCATATTCGGCAGTTCTTTTTTGTTGGTCACCAATGAGCTGTTTGATATAAAGTGGTTGTAACATTTACAATGCGAATACAACAAATAAAGCAAACTGTACTGCAGGGATGGTGTATTTTTGGCAAGAAGCGGATTATATGGTTGCAAATTTACGCCTACTAATTCCAGTATTGTTGGCTTCAGCGCCCACATAACAATGATCGAGCTTGCGTTTGCCAATTGCGATAAGCATCTTAAAAGAAATAGTACTGTTAACTCAAAGTTTTCCGATTTGTTAATTTTTCTCTCAGAAAAAGGGTTGTTTTGTGTTAAGAACTCCAAGTTTGGCACAATTTGCCTAAATGCCACTTCTAGATCTCCAAGTACATATCTATACGCTTCTTGAAGTAACGAAACATTTTTAACGTTCAAGAGAGACTGATAAACGCAAATGACAGCATTCTGAATGTTTTTAACTGGCGAATGTCTTAGATACAAGACTTTTGACTCAGGTCCAATTAATTTTTCTATTAACTCAATTGGTAAATTGGTTGAAAGCTCTTTAACAGTTTTAGATATAAATAAAAGCAGGGATACTATTGATGCATCCGAAAAATCGTCAATCAGTGCCAATTCGTCGTCGGTTAATTCGAAAATTTTTGTAGTTAGCTTCTGAGATTTATTTTCTATGGCAGCCAAAAGCAACGATATGCACTCATTAGCCGCTATTATTAAATTATCCTGTACACCTTCTTTTAAAAAATCATGAAACACATTGGCAATCTTCCATAAGCATTTGTTTACGAATTCAACACTTCCAAATTTATTGTTTACAGGGTAAAAATCTGTATCAAGACATTTTAAAATAGTATTAAGAGCAAGTATTAAGACCGTGACGTGTTCAATTTGCGTGGAGTAATTAGCAATATCCTCAAGAAAATTTTCTATCAACGAAACAGAAAAATCCAAATTATATTTGAAATGATGGGATGTTCGTAATAAATTTCTGGATATAAATTCAATGTTGCTTAGAGATTGGGTGTGATCAACATGCCAACCAAATAAGAGATCTATAGTATCCCTAAATTGATCATAAAAATTTCTAGGGTATAGTTCAACAAAACTCATCAGTGTGTCCAAAATTGCTTTAAATATTTCAGTGTTTTCGGTAGTCTCTATGGTTGCAACCAGGCTATTTATTAAGTTGTCTGCATGGTTCTCAAGAACTGGTTTCTTAGCCTCCATACTAAACGTCTCTTTAAAGGATTTCATTAGCAATATTTGTATTTCTTCATGCGAACTAACCATCTTTGAAAACAACCAGTGCTGGTACCTCTCGAAATCGTTCTCTTGTCCCATTATGTATCCCATCCTACCAAGTGCTCTGGCGGCTTGTTGTTTGGCCAGAGGCCCAGGCGAAACGTGCACAATGTCGTACATTGACTCCCCGAGTATGTGAAATGCTTTTCTGACGTAGATGGCATTGTCGGGAATCAGTAGCACTTCCAATAGCTTTTTAGATATGGCCAATGAGTTGTCTTGATCAACTTCCGACGATAGTCGTCTTAAAAGCTTCGATATTCGCGTGTCCTCAGGCAAGCTGTATTTGAAGTCGACTTTTTTCTCTGGCTCATAAAATTTTCCTCTATAATTTCCTGTAAAAAAATATATGATTTTTTTTATTTTGTTATTTGATTAAACTAATCAACAAATAAAAATAAAAATGTGTATACCCAACATTAAAAAATTATGTATCAAGCTGAAAGCTTTGAAGCCATTAAGAACAGTGACTGTCATAAACATAATACAAGGGGAAAAGACAATTTCAGACTGCCAAAATCCAGAACCAAAATGGGAGAGACTAAACTAACATCAGAAGGAGCGAGATTATACAACCAACTTCCAGAAAACTTAAAAAAACACACTAGAGAACAAATTCAAAAAAATGGTACTTGAACAACTAATAAGCAAGAGAAATGAAGAACTGAGAAATAAAGACCTGTGATACAACTGTGATAGTATTTATTAAGTACAAATGCTTTATTTTACAATAACTTGTTATACATTACACATTAGGGTGGCCCAAAAAAAAAATATATTTTTTTTCTCTCGCCTCTTGTGAAAATATGTTGGTTTGTCATGTTTTAAGAGCCCTGTCAAAAGATCAGCTCCATTAAAAATTTTTTAAGGGTCGCTCAAGATTTATAAAAATTTCCAAAATCGTCAAAAATTGGATTTTTTTTTTATTTTAATTTTTTTTCTCGTTCCGATATTATTTTTTAATTTAAAAATAATAATGAATCTGAAAATTTCAAATCAATATTTTGATTTCTAAAGGTCGCTCAAGATTTTTTTAACTTTAAAAGTAGAGTATTTTGAATATTTTTGAGCAACCTCTGAATATAAATATCAACGAACTTTTAGCGACCTTTAGAAATCAAAATATTGATTTGAAATTTACAGAATTTTTATTATTTTTAACCAAAAAAATAATATCAAGACGAGAAAAACAAAAATTCAATTTTTGACGATTTTGAAAATTTTAAAAAATCTTGAGCGACCCCTAAAATTTTTTTAATCGAGCTGATATTTTGACAGGGCTCTTACAGCATGATAAACTAACATATTTTTACAAGAGACGAGTAAAAAAAAATATTCTTTTTTTTTGGGCCACCCTAATTCACATTTTACATTTTACATATGTACAAAAACCTGTTAAAACCCGAAAAAAATTCCTATGTAAAATTGTCTGATAAATCCAAAAATGCCGTCAATACTTATAAAAGTAGGACAGTCTTTGAGATCTAGTCTATTTTCCATAGTGAACAAAATTTCTTTGAGAGGGAAATAAATTCATCATTATTATATTCAACATTTTTCAATCAGATTATCAGTTCACTAGCTATTTTAAAAGTTATTGCTGATTTAGCTTCATTTTTAGTTAATTTACTACTATCTATGAATATTACCCCGAATATCTTTTTTAGGTCCACTTTTTTAATTGGACGTTAAAGCGTAATCTATGGCAAATAAAGTAAACCACTTCTTAATAAAATCGGATGAAAAATGTAGGAGATATAAGCATTTATAAATTAAAGAAATGAAAAAATTTTAAAATGAAAACTAGTGCATTTGTATTTTGTTGTTTTTATATACTGTGGTCAAGCGTCATTTAGCTAACGCCAAATAAATATTAGTTAAAACTACCATTGACTGTCCATGTCGGTTATTTAGCTACAAATTTAAACAAAAATATCAGTGTAAAAATGACTAACAAATTTTGTTATGTCTGTGAATAGTACATTTTTTAACTTTGCATAAATTTAAAGAAGGACCACAAAATGAATTTAGATTGTATTGTAATGTCTCTTACAAAAATGTAATGTAATAAAGACTGTTTGAAAATAACCCTTATTATATTGGTATACCAAGCTTTATCAAGCTTTACAGGAAACTTCCTGAATATTGAAAGTGTTAAGCAGTTTCAAATGTATTTTATAGTGTTGAAGAGTTTTTTTAGCTGTTAGGCTGTGATATGCAACCAATCCAAATGTTTAAATCTGGTAATATGCAGTGTAACTCAGATGGTAGGACACATTTTAAAATAATACAATGGCACTAAAAATTTTTATTTTAATAAAAATAAACGATGTGGCTCCCGTCCCGAGGCGGAACTTAACTTCGATCCCGACAGACGTCACACACTGTAAATCCGTTTTTATTTCCCGAGCTTTTATAATTGCTGTCAAGCTGGATGGCTTAGATGGTAGGGCGGTCGCTTGGCATGCGAGAGGTACCGGGTTCGATTCTACTAGAAGTTGTCAAACTTTTTTTATTTTTTTTATTTTATAAATTTGTTGTTTCTTTGTTAAAAAGTGTTGGGTTGTGTTGGGTAGGGTTGGTTGGTTTGTATTAGTTTTATTGTAACATAACAAATCTTAAAATTATGACGTCAATCGGGACTGAACTTAAGTCCCGCCTCGGGACGGGAGCCACAGCGAAAAATAAATGCACATTTAATTATTTCTACATACTTTATTTTGTTTTATTTTGTCACAAGGACAAAATAAATTGTGTCAATAAACATTTAATTGAATTGCAATTGTCTGACATTTAATGCGTCCTATCTGCAAAAGTGCAGCACAGGGACACAAAAAAGAAGATTATATCCCTGTCCCTATCCATTCAAATATAAATTTTTAAACTTTAAAGTTAAATTCCTGTTGTACAAAATTTAAAAAAACACCTTCTAGTGAAAGGATTTTTTAATAAAATTAATATTATTAAAATTTAATTTAACAAACATCCAAAAGATTTACCACTATATTTGCATCCATGTTTATTAATGTAAATATTTACTTGGTATGTTTACAAATTCCACTACAATGATCAACAGGTACTCTATTTTTAATGTAAACTATAATTATAATTAATAATTTGTTAAATTTATGCAAATAAAACTATGATGAAAATGAAGAAGTTCATTAAGAAGTTTACTAATAAAGTAATTTATTGTAATACAATAAAACTAACTTACCTCCAGAGTCTGAGTTTCTCAAATCATATTTTCTGGTTGAATATAGGTTGTCAGAATAATCCCTATCACCTCTTCTAGAAGAGCCCCCTCTGCCTCTGTAGCCACCTCTTCTATCATGCAATCTATTCGATGATCTAAACTCGGTGGACTTGGCACGTCCAATACCTCCTCTGTATCTGCCATCACGTGAATAAACATTGTACTTATGATTGCTTTCTACAGCTTCATCATCTACACTGTTATTGTCGTAATTTTCATCTGAGTGATCATAGTCAAAATCATGGTTTTTTGAAGCTTTATGCTTGTAGGAACTTGAGCTATTTGATATCATCACTTACATACCGACTCAAAATGGAATGTCTTATATGCAAAAAAAACTATCAAATTCAATCTGCAATCATAAAAAACATTTTATAGTGAATTTATTAAATTAAAAGTAAAATTACTTACAGAAAATTAACATTTACGATCATCTGTCAAATTATGTTCGTTATAAGTTGTAAAATAAAAAACCCTGCTCCAAGGTGGCAACATAAGAAACACGTTTATTTTTGTTAAACCTAAACAAAGCTTTTGCGAACAAATTTGATATCTTCTTTAAACCAATCAATAATTGAAACTTAACCATATAAATAAACTTACATAGCTGCTCTACAACACAGAACAAGAAGTAAATTAACTAAGAAAATTTTTATTTTTGTACCTTTAACATAGTGAATTTTATTTTTAGACTTGTGGCAACACTCGTTATGTGGTTCTTCTTCTACTTTATTTAAATGTAAACAAACCGGCTACGTTGTGACGTCTGTCACTGATAGTGTTTTTGAAACTTAAAGTATGGCTTTAAAAACTAAAAATGTGTGTGTGGTGGTACTTGGGGATATAGGACGCAGCCCCAGAATGCAATATCACTCCCTATCACTGGCTAAAATGGGTCATAAAGTGGATGTATTAGGTTATGGCGAAACAGAGCCTCTAGAAGAAGTTAAATGTGCTTCTTCAATATATTATCATTACTTATTACCGTGTCCTCAAATACCTATTCGACTGGCAAATTACGTGTTTAAAACTATATGGCAAATATTGAACTTGTTTTTCTTATTGTTATTCATTCGGAGACCGGATACAATACTTGTACAAAATCCACCAGCAATTCCTAGTTTATTTGTTTGTTGGATAGTTGCAAGGACTAAAGGGGCAAAGTTAGTTATTGATTGGCATAATTATGCACATACAATAATGGCATTAAATTTATCTAAAACACACATACTTGTTAAATTAACAAGATATGTGGAAAGTTTTATTGGGCAAAGGGCAGACCTAAATCTTTGTGTAACAAAAGCTATGAAAGATGATTTGTTAAAGAATTGGAATGTTAGGTTTGTTTTATTGAAAAAGATTTTTAAAATTAGTTTTCATAACATTATTTTTTAGTGCTATTACTTTATATGATTCTCCTCCCTTAATTTTTCAACCTATTTCTGTTGAAGAAAAGCATAATTTCTATAAAAAATTGGGAGAAATATACTGCCTATTTTTAATGGACAACAATGAAACAATATTTACACACACTGTTGATGGGAAAATATACTTAAAAGAAAATAGACCTGGATTATTAGTTTCAAGTACAAGTTGGACAGAGGATGAAGATTTTTCTGTTTTATTTTCTGCATTACAAGGTATAATATAATACATATGTAGGTACATATGTACCTATATTCAAAAATATTTCATTTTAAATATACCTATTAATTCATATTTTTAGAATACGAAGAACACCATAATTCAGGAAATCAAAGAAAACTGCCTGATTTAATATGTGTTATAACTGGTAAAGGGCATCTTAAAAAATACTATTGTGATAAAATTGCTGAACAAAATTGGAAACATGTTACCATTTTAACACCTTGGTTGGAGTCCTGTGATTACCCCAAAATACTTGCATCAGCTGATTTAGGAGTATCCCTTCATACCAGTTCAAGTGGTTTAGATTTACCAATGAAAGTGGTGGACATGTTTGGATGTGGACTTCCTGTGTGTGCCTATGATTTTACATGGTAAAATTTTAATACATTATTATATACATACAGTGCTTGCAAATCCAAGTTCGACCAGGTTGGGAAGGACGGTTGTTCAATACCCGCGTAAAAAGAACAAGGATAGAACGCCAAACAGAATTTGATTGGTCAGAGCCGGCAGGCGTGCGTATTGTAAGCGCCTTCTGTTTGGCATTCTATCCTTGTTATTTTCACGCGGATATTGAACAACCGCCTTCCCAACCCGGTTGGACTTATGTGTGTTTATTTATATGTATAAATATATTTATAAACACACATAAATACCTACATAAAATAATCACACTGTTGCCAAAATGGGTGAGCTTATTTTGACTAAAAATACAAACAAATCGAGTTGAGTTGAAGTATGGGTTATAAGATATTTAACCTTTCAGTAGTCGCGCTATTTATTTTTTTCAAGTTTAGTTGCCCAGGATATGCGATTTTTTTTAATAAATATTTACTATCAGTAAAGTATAATGGGTAAAAAGGTACACATAGGTACAAAAAAGGTCTTTAAACTTTTACATACAAAAAAAATTGCAGCTAAAAAAAGTCAAAATAAAAAAAAATATTATTTTGTTGGTCCTTTTTTAATACGGTAGTGACAAAAAAATTGAAAAATTAAGATTGGCAAATGCCTATTATGTGCTCTAAGCACATGTGGGTATTACGTTTAAAACACACAAATCCAGTTTTTCTATTTTTCTTCCAATTGCAATAGGCACATCTACCAGGGGTAGTATTTCCTTGAGATTCTTGAAGTAAAATTCCACAAAATTCTTGAAGTCTCAATTTCAAACTTCGTGGAATGTCGGTCAAAGCAGCACAGATTATTTGTAACACGAATGGTCACCCCGGTCTCACACACCGAACGTCACTATAATTCGCAATAAATCAAATCGTTTATTTTTCATCCCAAAAGATACATTCTATTTAATTATATATTACAATACTTTTAAATCAACACAATATTACAATCACATACAAAATATAAAGCTATATTATTTATGAATATTTTATCACATTTGCTGCTCGTCACTTATTTTTAAAGTTTTATACTTAAGTTAAGGTTTAAAATAAAGATTTTAAAATAACAAACACGCAATAATTTAAATGCCTTTTTAGTAAAGTGTTAAAACCTTCTCCCCGACGGTGGTTTATTTCGTCCGGGAGAAGGTTGTTACTCTTTTCGCCCTTATAGAGAACCGATTCAATGCCATACCGGGATCTGCACTGAGGAATGTCTATCTTTCCTCTGTTTCTAGTATTATGATAAAGAATTGTAAAGTTGATATTTGAATGACGTTTTTTTGTAATTACCTGATGTATAAAGGAGTATATGATATTTGTGAATATTGTTTTTAAAGAATTTTAAGTTAATATATAACTCGTTTGTTGGGTGGAGAGCATCCAGGGAATATAAGTTTTGTATGGATTTATTTTGTAAGGTTTTTATAATTTTTATATTGCTTTTGGAAGTTGATGACCAGATTATATTTAGATATTGTAAATGAGAATGGATTAGGGAAAAATAGACAGGCCTCAGGTACTCACTAGGCACAGCATAGCCAAAAAAATAGTGTAAGGTGATGTCGATGGGGCCTGCCATACATCCCCATGCTCATACTCATATTTTAATAAAAACTCTTAAAATACATCTGTTAACAATGTCATGTATTTTATTTATTGGTGTTGACTAAACTTCTTAATAACTATTTAAAATTATTTATGCAATTTTTGTATATCCATGATTATCTGTATATAACCGCAGTGCACTAATGATCAAGTTTGTTGCCCTTTATTTATAAATACCATGTTACATGGTCTATGTATAATAATTAAATACCTTTATTTTTAGCTTAAATGAGCTTGTTAAGAATGGAAAAAACAGTTACACTTTTAAAGATTCTCAAGAGTTATCCAAAAGATTGCAAGAATGGTTTGACAATTTTCCAAATAATGAAAAAAAGAATTCAAAAGAAATTGAGTTTAAAAAAGAGCTGGAACAATTTCAAAACAATAGATGGGATGAAAATTGGGAAAAAGTGGTTTTAAATGAATTTATATAGATTGAATGTTACATGTTTTAAAAGGATATTGATATCTAATTTCATACTGAATAAATAGCAATGTTTATCAACCTTATAAACCAATTCGTTTGTATTTAGGTATGTATGATTCATACTTTTGTGTTGAGTAATTCCCTTGTAGAGGAAACATTATAATGTATATTTTAACTATATGTTAAGCTAAATATTATTTAATAAAACTAACATGGCCAAAGGCAATAAAACGCTTTAAAATATCAAATAATCTCAATAAATTTAAATAACTAATTAAATTACTAAATAATGCATTTAATATTTAAATAATGCTTTATTAAAATATAACAGTACAAATAATATTATTAACATTTATGTTAGTATGTTTGATTTCTTATTAGAGAATAGTTAACATTCCTTAAAATATTTAGCTGGCCTTATTTATTTTTCGTGATTTTTTTATTTTTATGATATAGATGTTTTTTAAGATGGCATTTTCTTTCTTTAGCCTATTATTTTCATAGAGTTGCTTTTTATACTTTGTTTTGATCTCTATTAATTCTTTTTTATACTTTTTCAAAATATAATTTGTGTGGCCCTGCAATCGTATTGTGACGCCAATATCTCTATTTTCATCATCATCATTTTCACTTTTGTTACTTCCAAAACCAATGTTAACTTTTATTGGTTATATTTCAAATAATTCGAATTTATCATTTGTATCATTGTTATTTTCATTTTTTTCACCCATCATGTTCTCTGTTTCAAATATAATATCAATTTCAACTTCTAATGGTTTGTTGGTGTAATGGTATAATGTTTTTGGAAGCTCTTCTTAAAATTAAAGGTTCCTTTCTAATGCCCTCCCCACCTTGAATACCTATCTTTGGGTAAATTTATCCTGACTGACGTCACACACTGTAAATTCGTTTTTATTCGTTTAAAAGTAATGTTAAGCTGGATGGCTCAGATGGTAGAGCGGTAGCTTGGCAAATTATGAAAAGCATAAACTGACAGTCCTTAATTTTACACATAAAACATCTGAACAATATTGCCCCTGCATCGGTTGAGCGAAGGGAATGGCGAACTGCGAGAAAATTCCAAATTGTATTCTAATTTCGGGTAGGCCAAAACATCGGCCAGGGGGGTTGCTATATTGCGTTTTTACGCACATATAGTTGCCTCCTTTATGTTGAACATTACGTGCCAGGCACATTTGTTTTGTTCATTTCACTTTTTACACCATATATATATACTTGAAATTATTTTTACAATTTATTATACTTTACAATAACATGAATAAATATTTTTGATTTGATTTGATTTGGTAGCTTGGCAAGCGAGAGGTACCGGGTTCGATACTACTAGAAGTTGTCGAACTTTTTTTATTTTATAAATTTGTTGTTCCTTTTTTAAAAAGTGTTGGGTTGGGTTGGTTGGTTTGTTTTAATTTTATCGTAACATAACAAATCTTAAAATTATGACGTCACTCGGGACTGAACTTCCCGCCTCGGGACGGGAGTCTCAGCGTAAATTTAAATGTGTCATAAGTAGCTGTTTTCTTTAATATTTTACGTAATCTTAAAAATACTAATTTAAGTACACTAAAACATACTTGATATGTGTGCCATAGTACGTAGTAAATCTCTTTTATAATCATTTGTATCAAAATGTTGAGAACACACAAAATGCCATTCAGTGTTTAAAGTTTTAGAGTTTTTGCAAAGTTTGAACCATTTTTTTTTTAAACATCCGATTTTTTTGGAAAAGAATGTAAAGTTAATCCTCTAGACTTGGCCTCAAAATAATTTATATTGCAACCCTTTACAAAACAAACATGGTCTGGAATATTGAATAATAATAATAATAATAATAATAATTTCTTTATTAACGCAAATAATAGCAGTAACAATATATTAGTTTACAGGTACATATAAAAAAAACAACCCCCAATAAAATAAATAACTCAAAATAAATATAAATTATGTAGTATCACATCCGATTTAATTGGCGTCTAAAAGTACACATTGAAATGCCAAAAAAGTTACACTCAGACATCTCATTAACAGTCACACGACATATAGGCGAATTGCTAGCATACACAGTATGAAATAATGGAACTTGTAAAAGGGGATACTTTCTCAAGACTCTTATAGGAATTTGCATAAAAAAACAAGCCAGTATCTCAGGGTCTACAATGACATTATTAATCACTTTATAAAAAAATGCTGCATCAATATCTTTTCTTCTCTGTTCAAGTGTTTTAAGCCCCAAATACAGCCTTGTTTGATCAGTGCTTAGTTGAAGAGACAGCTTATAACGCATACAACGGATAAATTTATTCTGAATGGCCTCCAACCTATTAATTTGAACATTATAAACTGGAGACCAAGGGGATGTAAATAGAGCCAACAGTGATCTGCATTCCCTAAAATCGACAGTCGTGCGCAGTAAGAAACCCAACACCCCATTTTATCAAAATGGTTGTGAAATTGCAGTTTGCTGTCCAAAATAACACCAAGGTCGTTAACCATCTCTAGAGATTTTAACTTGAAATTATTAAGATAGTAGGAATTTAAGTATTTAACTTTACTTCTGGAAAAGACAATAACAGAGCATTTGTCATTATTCAAAAACAATTGGTTCTTTTGGCACCATTCATTAAGTACATTAAGGTCACTCTGCAAGGCTTCCACATCCCTATCAGCCTCGATACAACGATACAGCTGGGAAATGGGGATTTAAAACTATTACCAATGTCATTAACAAAGATTGAAAATAAAATAGGTCCCAAGTGCGAACCTTGCGGAACTCCACTGGTGACATTAATGACATCCGACATAAAACCATTTAGTTTTACCCGCTGACTACGTCCCGCGAGATACGAAGGAATCCATTGGTGAAAAGGCGATTGCAATCCGTACCTCCCGAGCTTAAGTAACAAAACATCATGACTCACAACATCAAACGCTTTACTGAAGTCGGTATAAATTGCATGCACTTCCATACCCTTATCCATGCAGGAAGAGATAAAATTGACATAAGAAAATAAGTAAATATAATATTATATATTAAAACTAACAAAACAGTAAAATAAAATATTTTGAATTACTGACCTGCATACAATTTTCGGTTGAAATATAACTATAACTATAAGTCGTGTCGTTTAACATAACATGCACAATACTGAACTATGTTTATATTGTAACTGTTCCCACTCTTTGCCTAAAGTGCACTTTTGCATAAAGTGCACTTTTGCATAAAGTGCACTTTTATAATCTACATATACAGGGATGGTAATGTGCTCTTAGGCCGTTTAATAAATAAAAACAAATGAGACGTGGGAGTGGTGGAGTGACGTGGTGGGGCAGGCCTGACCGCGCCGCGCGGCTACGATCATCGCCCGACCGCAGACAAGAGAATGTGTTGTAAGTAAGCGGAAGTACGTTTGTTATAAATTAGGAAATATTCTCTAATAAAAATGGTTTACACACTTGAAGAAAAAATTCAATTTATAACGTGGCATTTAAATGGGATCTCAGATAGAGAAATTCAAAGATTATTTCCAAATATGTTCCCAAATAGACCCTTACCAGCAAGGGCAACAATTCAAAATGTTGTAAATAATTTTTTAACATTCGGCAGTGTTAATAGGGTTCATAATAGGGAACCGCAAGCAAGGCCAGTAAATGAAGAACGCGAATTACGGGACACTTTAATTTGTGCAAGCATCGAACAAGATCCAACCCAGTCAACCAGACAAGTTGCCGAACAGTTCGATCTATCACGGTCTATGGAAGGCAAAATTGGATGAAATTTTGCGAAACCGTTATAGAAATGGCGAACCGGGATGAAAATTTCACACGAAATATCCTTTTTACTGATGAGTCGTCATTTTTTATACATGGTAGGCATAATTCCATGAACCATCGGTATTGGTCCAGGACGAATCCTCATCAGCATTATGCTGCCAATACTCAACGACCACAAAAATTAAATGTTTGGTGTGGAATGCTGGGAGACCATATTATAGGTCCATTTTTTATAGTTTAAATGGTCAAAAGTGAGTCAGTATGGTTTCAACAGGATGGATGTCCCCTATTGGTAAGAGAATATTTGCAAGACACTTGCAGACCGCATAATAATTGGTCACGGAATTATTCTCTGGCCAGCAAGATCACCGCACTTGGCTACGTGCGATTTTTTTATGTGAGGATATGCCAAATCCAAAATGTACGGATTCCAGCATATCAAGGCAAATAACCTTGATGAATTAAGAGAATTAATAATTAATACATTAAGGAATATCAGACCTGAGATGCTGTCAAATGTACAACAAAATTTTTATAATAGGTTAACCACGGCGTTCTCTATACCAGGCGAGAGTGTAGCCACTCCTGCATCGAAACTGTGACGTCAGGAGGCCGATCTTATCAACTTGCGCCTATTGTATTACATTGCTTTGCAACCAAAGTTATGGATTATTATTGCTTTTAAGGAGTATTTTTTACTTAAGCAGTGGACAATGCATGAGTACATATTCTATCAAAATCAGCAGAACAATATGTACTAAGTAATTTATTGAAAACAAACAGAGAAATGCTATTTAAATAGTAATTTATTTAAAACAAACAGAGCTGCTCACAAAAAGTTATTCTTTAATTATTTTAAAATAACGATTGTTTTGGATTTGTATATTTGAAATAAGTATAGTCTAATTTTTATAATATGGAATATTAAATAATAATTTATTTAAGTTTAATTTTATAAAAAAAATAGTTTAATTGATCTATTACTATTAAGAATAATTACTTTAATTAAATGTTCTTGTATTTAAAAATAGAAATTATATTTTTTTAAATATTAAAGTTTGCTTAAAATAAATTAATATATTCATTTAAAAAGGAAGTTTTCAACAAAACATAGTAGATTTAATTTAAATAAACACAAGTAAACTATCATATTTTTGCGTATAAGTATATAACCATAAAAATGTTATTTAATATAAACAATTTTTTTTGTGTATGCTTTTAAAATAGTAATTTATTTAAAACAACATAGAACTGCTAATAATAGTATATTATGTATCAAGTTTGATAAACGCCAT